CCAACATGGTCATCCTACTCCAAAGCCTGGAATTTGTGATTTGTTAAGTGTTCTGCCTCATTGACCCAACTTTACTCAGCAATTGTTGATGGAGTGGCGTGTAGGGAATGGATAGATGATTGCATATAAAGATGAAAAAATGCGTTCTCACCCTCAAGAGTCTGCCAGTGAGGCCGATAAGTACCAAACGTGAAAAGTAAATATCTGGTCTTTTAAGATACTTGAAGATGCCAAGTTAATTACTTTTCTGTTGTGTAGATTTTATGGAAAGAACTCTTCCTATGTTCATGGGGGATTGGATTCAAATGGAAAGCCAGCAGATGCAGTCTACGGGCAGAAAGTAAGCACGCATGATTTATTTTGGCTCTTAAGCAGGTAGAAAATAACCCATAAATTTGAGGTGGATACATGCTTAATAGATTGTTAATACTTAGTCCAATTTCTCAACTTCTTAGAAGTCAAAGCTATATATATAATTATTATTTGGTTAATATATTTGAAATGCTTATGCAACGTTATATTCATCATTTTGTGTGATACATTGTGAAGTTTTAGTATCCTGAAAAATAATAGGCTTTAGTATTGAAATTTTCTCTTTTTTAAACTTCCAAAATAAAATAAGAGTATTGGCTGAGTGTGGTGGCTCATGCCTGTAATCCTAGCATTCTGGGAGATCTAGGCGGGTGGATTACCTGAGCTCAAGAGTTCGAGACCAGCCTGAGCTAGAGCAAGACCCTATCTCTACTAACACTAGGGAAACTAGCTAGGTGTTGTGATGGGCACCCATAGTCACAGCTGCTTAGGAGGCCGAGGCAAGAGTGTCACTGGAACCCAAGAGACTGAGGTTGCTGTGAGCTATGATGACGCCATGGCACTCTACCCAGGGTGACAGAGAGTAAGACTGTCTTAAAAAAAATAAAATAGTGCTTGCTTCAGCAGCAAATATACTAAAATTGGAACGATACAGAGAAGATTAGCATGGCCCCTACGCAAGGATGACACACAAATTCGTGAAGTGTTCCATATTTAAAAAAAAATAAAATAAAATAGTACTAGTTCTCTACAGTTACTTTAAGAGACTGCAAGTGTGGTTGCTAGAAATAGAGTAGGAAGATAAAAATAAGAGTACATATTTTGTATTTTAAACATGTACATTCTCTTCACCTGTGCTGTGTTGGAAGGTTTCTTTTTAAGTTGGAGATTGTAAATTTTAAGTCATTAACTCTTGCCTTGATATCTTAGGAAATCCATAGGAAAGTGATGTCACAAAACTTTACCAACTGCCACACCAAGATTCGACATGTTGATGCTCATGCCACTTTGAATGATGGTGTGGTGGTCCAAGTGATGGGGCTTCTCTCTAATAACAACCAGGCTTTGAGGAGATTCATGCAGACATTTGTTCTTGCTCCTGAGGTATGTATAGGAATGACTCATGGTTAGTTCTATATTGATCATATATGTGTATATATACACACACACATGTATTTACGAAAGGTAGTGCATATCTTAAAGTTTTTTTTGAAATTCAAACTTACAGACAAGTTGCAAGAATAGTGCAATAACTTGTGTACCCCTACTACTGTCAACTCTTGCACCTCATTATTTACTATCATTTTTTTCTTTCAAATAATTTGAAAATAAGTTGGAAAAATCATGTCCCGTTATCCTCGTACTTCAATAGGCATTTTCAATAATAAGGAATTTTCTTCCATAACTACCATATAGTTACCAAATTCAGGAGTATTGATGCAATATAATTTAATTTGTCAACCCACTGCTCGTGATGTCCTGTATAGTAGTTTTTTCCTGGTCCCAAGATTCATTTCATAATTAGACGTTGCATTTAGCTAGCATGTCTCTCTAGCCTCCTTTTTTTTTCTTTTTCTAGCCTCCTTTAATTTATAGTGCTCCTTAATATTTTGTTTTTCATGGCATTGACATTTTTGAGAAGTAGAGTCAGGTTATGTAAAGTGTTTCATACATATCTTTCAGTGCCTTGCATTAGAGAGACGCATGATGTCATTTAGACCTATTAGTGATGTTAACTTTGATTACTTAAAGTGATAATTCACCATGTTTTGCCATGTAAAGTTAAATCGCTTTCTTCAAAGACTATGGGAGATTCTTTGACACTATGCAGATCTACTCTTCAGTATCTAAGTTTTATGCATTAGCTTTAGCATTCATTATTGATTTTTGGCCAGAATCAGCTGCTACTTTGAGGGTAGTAAATGGAGATTATCTAATCCCATTGTTCTGTTTAATGGGAACTGCTGACAGGTTGTTCTCAGATGAAAAGGATTAATTGGCATTCACCTGTATAGAAAATTTATCTTACCTTTCTTAGATGGTTAGTATATTTAGTTGGTTATACTCTAATAACAACTCTAATATGTGGAATGTCCCACATCTGGTAAGTGTGAACACCTTTAAGCTGCCTTTTGTATTCCTTTGTTGGGGGTACTTTATAACTTTGTGACAGGAGATGTTCCAGGCTTCATTTTGTACTGTCCTGTCCCAGCCTCAATTCTGGAATAAGCAGGAGGCCTGGTTCTTTTTCATTTTTCTTATCATGGAAGGACCATACATTTATGTTGAATACATTTGTGCCTTCTTCCAGATTGGTTCAGAATGAGCAAGGTCAGGAAGCCTATCTCCTTAAGCACATAGGAGTGATTCAGTGAGAACTTGCTGAATATAATAGCTTGTTTTGTCTTGCATTAATCTTAAAATAATTTTCTATTTAGGGTAGTGGACTTAAAGCCCTTTTTATTATTTGAATATGAAATAACTTTGTATTTGAAAAATTACGTGAAGTCATTAGAGTGATGATTCTTAGAGAGGAAGGGTTAAAGTGTAAAGACTTGACAGATGCCTATAATCCCAGCAACTAAGTGATAGGATCCCATCCCAGGAGGATTGCTTGAGGCCAGAAATTCCAACACATGGTGGGACCTTACCCTGTTTCTAGGGAAGAAAAAAAAATAACTGAGAGTGGTGTTACATGCCTGTGGACCCATCTACTTGAGAGGCTGAATATAGAGGATTTGCTCGAGCCCAGAATTCAGGGCTGCCATGAGCAATGATTGTGACATTGCATTTGATCCTGAGCAACACAGACCCTGTCTCTTAAAACAGTACAAAAAGTCCCAAAAACAAAAGCAAAAAAAGGGTGGGGGAGGCTTGATAGACTTCTGAATATGCAAAGAATCACCTGAAGTGTGATTGTCAATTATAAGTTTAATTATAGTTCTTTTTTCTTTAATATAAATTGTCATTTATTACAGAAAAAATTGAGGTATATGTTGATATCCCTCTTTATTGCTAAGAAACAGCTTTAGAAATTTAATAACTAGTAAATTATATAGTTGGATTTATACTATTATGTGTTGTACCTAGTGTGAACAGCTTTTTAAGCTACACTATCTTTGAGTATTTGTATTTATATTTTTGAGTACAGATTTAGTGAATTTTTTTTGTTTTTTTTGTTTTTTTGAGACAGAATCTCACTTTATTGCCCTTAGTAGAGAGCCATGGCATCACAGCTCACAGCAATCTCCAACTCCTGGTCTTAGGCAATTCTCTTGCCTCAGCCTCCCCAGTAGCTGGGACTACAGGAACCTGCCACAACACCTGGCTATTTTTTTGTTGCAGTTTGGCCAGGGCTGGGTTTGAACCTACCACCCTCCGTATATGGGGCTGGTGCCCTACCCACTGAGCCACGGGCACTGCCTGATTTAGCGAATTTTAAGTATCACCTGAAGTTAGGAGTGTGATTGCCTGTTGGTGAATTTTGAAGTTTTGAGGTGTGGGGTATGGCATCTTACATTGTCAATTTTTGTCCTTTTTTTTTTTTTGTTTAAACATTTCCTGTCTTTCAGAGCGCTTTGTCAATCTCTGGATAACCATTTCATGGTGATGATAAATGCTTTGAGTGAACAAAATGTGTATGTGAGTGTAGCTTTTTGACAGTCCTGTTGTAGAGTAGGGCTTTCAGTTTTGATATTGTTGTGTAGAGGGGATCTTTCTTTTGCATTAAGGGGTATTAAGCAACATCCCAACCCTTGGTGGTTGTCATAGCACTCCCTGTTGTGAAAACTGAAATGTTTCCAGTCTTTGCCAAATGTCTTCCTGGTGGCAGACTCATCCCCAGTTGAGAACTATTGGTGTAGAATAATTCTGTTTTTTTTTTTTTTTTAAATCTGTGGAATAAATGAAAACTTCTTGTTGGCATTGCAGGGCTCTGTTGCAAATAAGTTCTATGTTCACAATGATATCTTCAGATACCAAGATGAGGTCTTTGGTGGCTTTGTCACTGAGCCTCAGGAGGGTAAGTTGTGAAACACTATAAGTTGACTTCTCTGAATTTTCCTGATGGCATCAGACTGACATTTGGCTTTCTTGAATGTTTTATTTTAATCTGTATTCATTAATAAATAATTGTCAAGACATATGACGGGTCTGGGATTTTACTTCATGGATGTTAATAGAAGATGTAAGACTCCAAGGTCAGGAGTGGACAGCGACAATAGTAGCATTTTTGCCACACTGCCCACAGGATACTATGGAGGGACAGATGATTTAATTGTACTGCTATAGATTATGTCAAAAATGAGGAACACTTGAGTTTAGGGACCCCAAATCTTTTATAATGGGCACTAAATTTGCCTACCCTTTGCTCTGGAGGGACACCACCTTTTCCAAAGCTATTTGCTATACAGATGTTTTTGAAGGATAGTCTGGAAGGAAGGGTCGATGTGAAAGATGGTGTAGTAACAGAGACCTATGGAGAATTTTCTCCAAACTGGTAAGATTTGAGTGTTTGTATCTGGCT